GGGAGTCAAAAGTACCAGAATGAAAGCAATTGAGCTTGGCACGCTTCAAAGAGGAGTGTTAAGTCCTATGCTCTTTAATATACTAATGCACAAGCTTATTGCTGACATTCTAGCTCAACAGATCGAAGCTGTGATATGTTATAATGATGATATCTGCATTATGACACAGACCAAACCCAGGCTCCAAACATTACTAAAAGTCTTTACTCGGAGGACAATGGAATGTGGTCTCATTATATTTGTTGACAAGACGAGGGTCCTCAATCCTCGCCCTGCTCACCTTCTGCCTCTTAACTTTAACATTAACAGCATGCCCTTGGAACTCTGTAGCTCCTTTAAATATCTTGGAATTAATGTGAATAATGCGAATTTCATTGGCAGCCATCGTACCAAACTACTCGAGCATATTAAACCTCTCAGATCCCTTGTTGATAGGAGCTATGGAATTAATATCTCCTATGTCTGTACCTTCCCTTCATTCGATCTGTAGTTGACTATCATGATCTCCATCTTGTAATTATTCCTTTTAAACAACTAAACAGCAGTGCCGGATTAACCATAAGGCACTTGAGGCACTAGCCTCAGGCCCCCCGGCTCTAAGGGGCCCCCAAATCCAAACATTCTCGAAGTTGAAGCGTATAAAACATGAACTTCGTTCAACGATGTCCAAGCAACGTCTCAATTTTCTGTCTCTTATGAACATTAAATGTGTTATTTTGCAGAAACTTAATATTGATGAAATCATTGATAAATTTGGGTATATTTTGTTCTTGTTATTTATATATACCTTGAGGGTAGGGGGCCCCAAGTTGATCTATGCCTCAGGCCCCTATTAAGCTTAATCCAGCCCTGCTAAACAGCTAAGAGGTAGTACAAAATGAAGCCATGCACATCATCCTTTAGGATGCCCCAAATGTACCAGAATTGTAACCTAACCTAACACCTAACCTAACCTAACCTAACATGATGTATTTCAGGTATTTGCTGAGGCTACCCTAAAAAATCTAAGAAAATATTGCCTAATCTTTCCTTTTTCATAATTTTCGGTAATTTCTACTCGTATTTACCCCAAAAATATAAATATTTTCGAAATCATAATTTAAAACTACGTCAGATTAATGTGCTTTTATTAAAAATAAATACAAAATTGTGGTTCCTCAAACCCAAAAGACCCGCTTTCCACTATACTGTACAAGTCACCAAAATGATAGTGGAAAACATCCTGCCAGCCCGTGTTTTTTTTTCTCTCTAAATCCGTTAATCTAAGAGTATAAGGGGCTTCAACAATTAAAATCTAATACGGATGCATGTTTTATTTATAGATGACTTCCAAGAATACAATATATGTTGGATACGTACAGTACGTGGTGGCGAAATATCCTGTGATGTTGGATAACGGGGAAGGTGGAATGAAGCTTGGCAGTTGACGGGAGATTAGACTTATCAAATTTATGCGCGCATGCCATCACTTCAGTCTTTCGTATCTACCTTAACGCAGCCTCTGATTATTAATGGGGACTTTAGGCATATAAATTGTCGCCTATGCGAACCTTTTACTTTGTGATCAATAATGACACAAACACTAAATGATGAATGGCATTACACCGCAATCTGATTTTATGTCGATCACACCAGCTGACTCAACTTACCGAGATGCTACATGTCACTGATTCGTTGACAATGAAACCACAGACATTAAATTTAATTAAACGGATAAAAAAGCTTAAACATAATTTAAAAAGAAGGAAAATTTTGTTTAACTTGTGAAGTCCGAGATAAGTATTATAGTGAAATCCGAGATAAGTATTATAATTTAAACCTAGTCTCAACATTTATCCTTAGAGAAGGCATAAGAATAACATGAGTTGAGATAGGAGGCAGGAGCATGGTAGGTATTTAGTGGTGGCGAGGTGCCGACAGGTTTAGCGTTAGGTTGACGACGCGATGATCCTCCTGCAGGAAACCAACCCTATCAACCCCCTATCAATTGTCCCTTAGAATCTTAATAAAAAAAATTACTGATTATCCAACTTCAGTTTATTTTATACAGTAGAACGCTTTTGATGATCTAGCATGGATGATGACGTTGTGTGGGGAGGGGCAGCTAATATGTATATGTATATGTATATGTATATGTATATGTATATGTATATATATATATATATATATATATATATATATATATATATATATATATATATATATATATATATATACGAATATCATGGATAATTAGGTTGTGAAGAACCAGCCAGTTAACAGTGAATAAAGGGGTTTAGACGGGTCAGGCTGAATAAAAAAAACCCGAAGAATTATGAACTGTTCTTCCACCTTGTGATGAGATAATATTGTAAAGAAAATTTCGTCTTTTTTTTTTGCATTAATCATAAACTGTCAAAATACTTAAAACTTCTGACATTAATTCAACATTAATTCAAGGACACACAGTTTTAGAGCTCTCAAACACATCAATAATCTGCTCACTTATAATTACGTTACGTTTGTTGATTTGTAGTTCACGAGGCATTTTTCTTAGAAGAACGAGGTTTTGCTTTTGTGTGTATGTGGGGGCGGCAGTCGAGGTGGATCGGGTGAATCGCCATCGCCTCCATATAATTTCGACTTTACTAGAAATGTAAGGCCATGTTTTAAGAAAGAAAAAAAAGCACGAGTCTTAATATCAACGATAAGGGAAAATTATGCTGTAAAATATGTTCACAGACACGTACAGTACAGTGCATCTTTCATACCGGATATTGGTCCAAACTTCTGTTGAGTAAAATAGGCAGAGACAGTGATCGAATATTAACTAACGTAACTTATGATGCCGGATACTCAGATGATTTTTACGGGGAATCAAGAAAGGTGTTTAAATCATTTACCGCACAAAACTTCTCATCTCAGTGATGGGCGCACGTCAGCCCTGGAGGCCCGCGACAGCTGAGTAGCTCAAAATATCTTATACCAGGTTATCATCATAATTCACTATCACGTGCTTCCCGGAATTTGACGTCAGAGGCTAATAGCTATATTCAGGAGACGAGCTCGAGACCAGCACCTGGTTACTCCACCCCTAGAATGATATGGTTCCAATGTTTTGACGTAGCCTACATTCGTGCTCAGATCATGAACACTTAAAGTATATTTAATGCATATGTCTGCGGTTTCTAGTGCGTGCAAGAGCCGTCGAAAAGAGTTATGAAGGTCTGAGTGTGGCTGATGGAAATTAGTCATTAATGTCAAGCATGATATTAATACACTAACATCCTGTCAAAATTTGTTTGCAAACGTTAAGCGATACAGTAGCGCCAAGTAAGTTGTTTGTAGCACCTACTTACTCCGGACAACTGCGATATATATTCATTCAGGAGTGTGAACTGTACTCTTTATTTAAAAGGATCTGATGTACTGAAAATCAGTCACACCTATAACCCACACCTGACTGAGGTAAGTTGAGTATCGAAGCCAATTCCAGACCAAACTTAACAAGTGTGGCCAGACTGGTAATGTAGCTCAAAGCCCAAACAAATAAAGACCACGAGTAGCTTAGATCAGGCAGAGAATTTTGTGTTAATAATTGTGACAGGTGAGGGTCTGATGGGGGCTAAGAACATGTCTCTCACAATTTTAAATTATTTAGGTTATATTTACCATCTATTTATAATCTCTGACTGGTCCTATGTACACACAGGTATGTGACGCATTACGTCTCCATAAAAGACCTGGGAGAAATTTTGTTCGAAAAAAATCTTATTAAACCCTCCATGTGAATACTTTACCACAACGTTCTTAGTTTAACCTATGGTACAAACTGAGCGAAACTATAAACTTGTTATATTTAAAAAAAAATAAAAATAAATAAATTCTCGAGTGTTCCGACGTAGAATAAAAAAGGGTAATATACAAGTAGCTACACCTAAGAAAGTCACCACTGATACAAATAAACTGAACCCCTCACTGAATGCGGTTCCTTGATATTAAACATTTATCGTAGATATGCAAAAAAATTGCAATATATTGTAAAAGGTGGCGGCTCATGGGCGGAGTGCAGACAGACTTACGATGACAGGTCACCCACCCGTGCAACTCACTTTTTTTTTTTTTTTTAAATGACATTGATGATTGTCAATGGGCATTTGTCCTTTACCTATTATCTAATATATCACACAACTGTCACCAAGTACATTAATTTGGTTAGGGTAATAAAGTAATCTCATCTAACCAGCTCAGCAGTAGAAATATAATGTAAAACGCGGCACCTAACAGTGACAATTAGTGAATTGCTCGTGACGTGACCGAATCGTCGCCTTCTCTTTTTTAATTTTAGATTGGAGTGAAACTTTTAAGGTCTACTCAGGGATCTCTTGTTTTAGTGAATATTCCTAAGGTCTTTCTACACGTTAAGTCTGGTACTACATTACTTTAGGGTTTCGTTGAACATTATATATATATAAATATATATATATATATATATATATATATATATATATATATATATATATATATATATATATATATATATATATATATATATATATATATATATATATATATATATATATATATATATATACACGTTGTTATGGTGGTGTGTTTGAAGACATGCATCTTTGTGGTAGTATTGTAAGCATGTGACAGTTATATATTTCTGCATGGGTGAGTGTAGTCGAGTTCCTTCAGTTTGTATTCAGACTGAAATATTCTACAGTATTTCACTATATCCTGTGTTGTCTACAAAAAGGTGATTTACCCGTCAGTTTCACAAGTCACATAGAACCTAAAATTTCTTGAAAAAAATAGTAAATGACGAGGTGAGCCATTCATTCAGTAAGGGGGACCTGAAGGTGTTGGGTGAGGGTAGCGTAAGAGGTGCGGGTGTTGGACTGGTTTACGAGGGAGTGGTGGCGATGCTGCGACGGTCGTTTGGGGATGTGTGGCGAGTCAGGGCGGCGCTGGGTGCCTCTGGTGCCTGGGCAAGTGCCAGCGACGGGAGGGAGGGCCCGCCTGGTCAACCCCAGCGCCGCCAGTGTGTCACCACCGCTCTCACCAACACCACCACCAATATCTGTTGCACCAACACACCCACGCCCTCGAGGCTCTGTCCTCCTTCAGGTTCGCCAGCACAGTTCCTTCAGGATACCCGTGAGCAAAGCCACTGTCAGCAGTTGGTTGGCCACGCACCAACACAAGCAGTCGGGATATAGCGAGCGTAGGGCCTAAGTGCCTTGGGATATAATGGTGATGGAGGTGTCCTCAGTCGACTTCGAGGTGTTCGGGAAGGTCCAGGGTGAGTAGGGTAGTCCCAGGTCACCCGTGTCCGTCCCTCCCTCCCTCCCTCTCTCCTCCAGTAGGCTCCGTATAGAATCTTCTGCTCTCATATAGTTAGTGCTACAGAGATCAGCACCGCTAGTGCAGACAAAAGTCAGGCGTAACTTTCAGGGTTTTGCCAGGCGCTCGTGATTGCCCATGTGGTTGGTTTCCATCAATGTCAACCTGTCAGTGTAGGTTTAACTCGTATAAAGAACACTGTCAACATTGCCACGTGGGGGATATTAATAGGATAACCCCACATTACCAACAACCCCCTACCCCACACAATATCCACCATCCCACACAAGCCCCACACTATATCCACCATCCCACACAAGCCCCACACTATATCCACCATCCCACACAAGCCCCACACAATATCCACCATCCCACACAAGCCCCACACTATATCCACCATCCCACACAAGCCCCACACAATATACACCATCCCACACAAGCCCCACACAATATCCACCATCCCACACAACCCCCACACTATATTCACCATCCCACACAAGCCCCACACAATATCCACCATCCCACACACATCCACCATCCCACAACCCCCACACACAATATCCACCATCCACCATCCCACACAAGCCCCACACTATATCCACCATCCCACACAAGCCCACAATATCCACCATCCCACACAAGCCCCACACAATATCCACCATCCCACACAAGCCCCACACTATATCCACCATCCCACACAAGCCCCACACAATATCCACCATCCCACACAAGCCCCACACAATATCCACCATCCCACACAAGCCCCACACTATATCCACCATCCCACACAACCCCCACACTATATTCACCATCCCACACTACCCACCAGCAACCCAACACTGTGCTCACAGCCCCCACACTGTCCACCCACAATTCCACACAACTCACAACCCCTTCACTATCCTCAACCTCAAACTACCCATCCAAAATTCCAGACTGCGCTCATAACCCCACACTACCCACACTGTACTCAACCCACACTGCACTCCCCACTGTGCGTACAACCCCTCACTGTACTCACAATTCTACACAGTACCCACCCAATAACCCCACAACTCATCACTGTAACCACAACCCTATATTTTACCCTCATCCTTATATACATTATACTCAAACCCACACTGTATCTTCAACCTCACGCTTCCCACAGCCCCACTCCGTACCTATAACCCCAAACCACTTCCCACAACCTCACAAGGTACCTACAATCCCACATAAGCTCGGAATGAAGGTTGGTCTTGCCAGCCAGGTCTGTGCCAAGAAGTGAGTATCACCTGAGATGCTTGGGTCATCCCTCAAGGTGTGACGACAGTACTTCAACTAGACAATGATTGATATAGTTACCTCCCCATCAGTCAGTTAAAATATGTATCCCCCCCCCACTCTAAAGTACTCTAAGTTGTAATCCTGCTGTATTGTATATTATTTGCAGTGCATTTTTTATTTATTTATTATAAGTGTTTTTTAAGCTTCTTTCATGACTAACCGACCAAAAACATACATACGAGTTCTATCTTAGCCAGAATGAAATACATAAAGGATACTTTGCCCTCTAAAGGGTTAAAGACCTTCGATGTTAAAGCGCAGCAACAACATAACAACGTCAACGACCTAAAAAAAAAAGAATCCGCGTAATGAAGGTTCATGGAGCACCTGTCATTGTTCACGCTGTCGGCCACACGACCACCTCGCACTAACGCAGCAATGACTATTATTATTCTCTTGTTTCTGTTGTCTTCATCTTTTTCCATTATGTAGGCTCTTTAAAATATTTATATGTGTGGAATTTTACAGTTACGATGGCCGAAGAAACATTATAATTACTCGGTTAAATACTTCAACAATGGATGTTAACAACTGTGTGCTTAAGACAGGTTTTGAAGTTCAATAAAGATGACACATGTCAGTGAGCCAGTTCAGATATCATGAAGGTGTCATGGAGTGTCATGGAGTGTCAGATAACCAGTTCAGATATCATGGACAGGTGTTTGGAGTGTCATGGTGTGTCAGATAACCAGTTCAGATGTCATGAAAACATGTATGTGTGTGTTAGAAAGGTGGCCCCACTAGTCATAAAGTGTGTGTGTGTGTGTGTGTGTGTGTGTGTGTGTGTGTGTGTGTGTGTGTGGAGGAAGATAAGTTGGACAGAGAACAGAATACGTGAGAGTGGTGTGGTTGCGTGGATGGGAGAAGTTGGGGAGTTTCTGCAAGGTATTGTCCGGGAGGAGCTGTTGTGCTGGTTTATTTTTACTCCAGAACCTCCTAGTGGTGTGGTGGCTCGAGCGACTCTGATGGTGGTGGCAGTGCCGGCCATACCCATAAAGCTCCCAAAGCCTGGTGGCAAGGGATCCTGTTTCTCGAGAACCGTGTTATCCTGGGCTGGGTCGGGGGAGAGGCACCAGGTGTTTGGAGGGTCTCCACCGGAGGGGTTTTGGGTCCAGGGGCTCTGGCTGGATAGCTGATCTAAGCATTAGCAAAATTCGTCCGTCGTAGTGTGTGTTTGTGTGTGTGTGTATTATTTTTCCTTTCACTCACTCTTCACGCCTTTCTATCGCCCCAAGGGCGGACCCCCCCCCCCCTCCTTTTCACCAGAAAGTTCCAATACTTTTTTAATGCAATATTGTACCCAAGCATTTTTGTATAGTAAAAAGTAATTATTGACTTCAGAATATCTCCTACTGCTAATATAAAGTGCACGTGCTTGAAAAAAAAAGATGAAATTAATTAGATTTCAAAAAGTGCATTATATAAAAAAATATATAATATATATATATATATATATATATATATATATATATATATATATATATATATATATATATATAGTATATATATATATATATAGTATATATATATATATATATATATATATATATATATATATATATATATATATATATATATATATATATATATATATATATATCCCCCTCAGTGGGCTCGCTGTACTCGCCATGTTCCCCCACCCAAAACTTCTTGGATTCCCCACTTTGGATATTCCTAGATCCAACCCTGCTTCTTCCCCATTTCCTTTCCATCCCTTAATATTCCTCTGTGCACCGTATACTTGCGTTATCTCTACACATGCTGAGCCAATTGTAAACCTGAATGACGATTTTACTGAATTAATATCTATCTATCCATCTACCTATCCATGGGGGAGACATACAAGATGTTCACAAGAGAGTCAAGGGGACGTTTTATTGTTCCTTGTCATGACTTCAATCCTTACACGATCTTTGTACTTACTGAGTAACATCCAGGCTAGACTGGGGGAAGGGAACTGCCACAAAAGCTCGTAATACACACATGAAAAGTGTTTCCTTCTAACCTATCTTTCAGGTTAACCCCTTAACTATTTTAACGCTGAAATTTAATTTGCTTGGGACTATAATTTTGATGACCGGATTTGATGAGTGAAATTGTTGGTTATACAGGTATGTCTTTCTGAACACTTTAATGTTAGTCACTTATTGCTGTCACTATGTCAGATTACTCTTAATGTTTGGACAGCTTCATAATTACCACTGTTGTTATTTCAAGTTTATCTCACAGTATAGATATCGTCGTGTTTTCACTTCTCTTTCCCACGGTGTACGACAGTTTCAGCTTGACAAATGGCAGTGCGCGGCGTGCTGCCCTAACTTCTCAACCGCATTAATTATATAATTAAACCCTTAACTTTACTCCTGGAGCCATATTTGATGAAACTGCAAAACTTCATTTATGACGCCAAATGGTGAATTAGTAACAACACAGAGATAATAGATATAAGGCCACTGTACTACACTGTATGCATGTGAAAGACATGGATAAAACTGAGCTTATGATAACAAGAAATTGAAGAAATTACACCAAGATCAGTATTTATAATGGAAAACGTCATTTGATGGGTTTTCCTCGGTTTCATCTAAAAATATGTCATTGCTGTAAAAAATTACCCAATAATTATTGTTTTGAAGCGTAATGTACCAGACACCGCCAGGTAGACGCGGGCCAAGTGGGTCATGTTTGCTTCAAGTAAATTACTTAAAAGAACATAAGAACATAAGAAAATAAGGAGTCTGCAATACCCCGGTTGGCCTGTGCATGGCAGCTCCTGTCGAGAGTTACTACCACTCTATCATCCATGAATCTATCTAGCCTCCTTTTAAAACTTTCCAGCGTTCCAGCACTTACTACAAAGTTGCGAAGCTTGTTCCACTCGTCTACCACCCTATTTGTGAACCAGTTCCTTTCTATCTCCCTCCTAAACCTAAACTTATCCAATTTAAACCCGTTGCTATGAGTCCTATCCTGCTCGGATATTATAAGAACTTTATTTATATCTCCTTTATTTATTCCTTTCACCCACTTAAATACTTCTATCATATCTCCCCGCGCTCTTCGTCTTTCTAGGGGATGCAAGTTTAGTTTCTTTAATCTATCTTGATATGGAAGGTTTCTAAGTCCCGGAATCATTTTCGTCATTCTTCGCTGCACCGACTCCAGTGAATTGATATCCATTCTATAATAAGGGCACCAGAACTGAACAGCATAATCGAGGTGCAGCCTGACTAGCGCAAGATATAGTTGCAATATGACCTCCACACTCTTATTACTTACACTTCTAGATATAAAACCTAATACTCTGTTTGCCTTATTTCGAACATGAACGCATTGTTTTCTAGGCCGTAGGTCCGGGCTTACAAGTACCCCTAAATCTGTTTCACAAATCGACTTCTCTAGGTTGATGTTGTTAAAGCTGTATACATTGACAGTATTTGTTCTTCCAATATTAAGTACGCTGCACTTGCTGATGTTGAATTTCATTTGCCATTTTTCTGACCACTCCTGCAGTTTATTTAAATCCTTCTGTAGTGCATTTGCATCCTGCCCTGAATTAAATCTGCCGCCCTATTTTGGTGTCATCCTCAAACTTGCTTATGTCACTGCTGATCCCAGTATCTATATTGTTTA